GTGGGCAGCATCATCTGAGGAAGATGCCCCTCCCTTGCCCCTCACATTCATGAGAGGAATTCAGTGAGCTCCCACCTTCCTTTACACCTGAAGGCGGCATAGACACAAAGCTTTTATATTAGGAATATAAAATGGACCAGGTTAGGTACAAAGGCATTTTGCCCCCGGATCCAACCTGTAGACCAGGTGCTTCTGCTGCTAGGGGATTTGCCCATGCCAGGGCCATGTGGCAATGCGCTGGGCCTATACTGCAGCCAGGAGGTGGAAAGAAGTGATGGGTGGACTGGGTTTGAACAGTGGTCCACCTCAGACCCAAGCTGGCTTGTTCCAGCCCCGGGTACTGAGAATTTGCAGACTGCTGACGTAAGGCATCATTACTTCAGAGATTTCATCTTAGTGAGCTCTCTGCTATTGGCTCTCCTTTCCTGTCCCAGTAATCCCCTCTCTCCCATGGAAGATGACGACCCGGCCAAAAGCAGTATAGCAAGAGTACAGGAGTTGTTTCCACCTGGATTTAAGTAGGAAAAATTGTTTTTATACCCAACCCAGATAAACTTTCAAAATGTTTAATGCTTGAGCCAAATAAAGGTTAATTTTCCTTTACATTTTTTTTTAAAGAAACAGGAAAAAGGAGAGCAGATTAGGTCACAAACCATTCTATTACACTATGTACTGAGAGGCAGTAGGAAGGTTCACAGATATTCCAATATTAGAGCTAGAATTTTTTTCAGATAATTAAAAAGGTCCTTAAACAAACGCCACGTACCATTACTCATGGAATGGAGACTCAAAATTCATGTGTTAGCCATTACTTACCATACTTCCCATTTGGCAGCAAGTGACCTCCAAATCAAAACAGGTCTCAAAGATCAGGACAGCTGATTTTAGCATAGGAAGGAAGTTCAGTTCAGATTTCTGGCAAAGCTCAAGGCTCACTCACCCTCTGGCAAATCAATCAAATGAGCACGTAGTAGTGATGGGTAAGGAATAAAACAGTACAGATGCCGTCTCACTGCTTTCAGATAAGTCAGATTTTGCTTCTTTTAAAAAAATCAGAAAGCAGCATTTGGAAATATTTATGAGGTTCATATTATACAAGGAGTAATAAAAATAATCTATCACTTTGATTTAGAACTGCAGAGAAAAATGTTTGAGACATATAAACCAGTAAATAATGTGTACTAGAATAAGTAGCTCAGAATGAATATTTGATTTTTACAGGTATCAAAATCCATGCTATAGGTTACACTGTACACTACATTTATTAATACAGCCATCCAAAATGTAGCTGTTTAGATGTTACACTGACAAGTACATTCACCAGAGCTGACACTTGCATACATTTTCACACAACAATGTCTATTTATAAAGTTTGTTACTTAATAGAGAATAAAAATCTTTAATGGCATTGCTTTGAATTGTGTCAAAGAAAGTGTTAAAATAATCACCTAGCCAAAATTCCTGCCGACATTTATATATGGGCTGCTGTTTCATGATCTTCATTTTCTCTACTTTCGTTATTAAATAAATGAATCCACACTGGGTGTTGATTTAGTTCTAAAATGCGAGTCAACCATACTTTACTGAGATTTTCTCTGGGATTCAGGTAATATTTTTTAATTTAAATTAGTGTGAAATATCCTTTTTTAATGGCAGGAAACTAAACAATCACTATCTAATCAAAAAATATTTTTCTTTATTTTGCAGTCAGATTTCTTTGCTTTCCCAGGAATACAGTTGGGGCATCATAGCACAGATGTAAGATTTTTCATTGTTGTCGATTTTTGTCTGGTACCAATGCAGAATTCTGTATCAGCTCTGTGGATAAGGTAGGTAATTTCTCCCAATAACGAACCAAGATTCAGCCAAATACTATAGCTGAAGCCCGCCCCCTCCCTCTTTTTTAATTAAATACTTAAACCTTTTTTCAATGCTCTGTCCTCTTGGCCAGTGCGAGAAAAATAATTCATTCTGTCTCAAAATGTGGATATCTATCTTAGTTTATTTATAACAAATACTTTATTTGGACATGGTAAGTTACTTAATTCTGTCACAAATGGGACTTTTTAGAGAAGACACGAACTGTTCCATTTTGAGATGGAACACCCTAAAATCAGAGATATTTAAGGAAAACAATTTTCATTATGAAAAATTACAATATAATGGAAATTAACCTCTGTAATAAAAACCACAACTCATAATATAATTTTACTCCAGTTAGAAAGAACTGATACAGGCATCAAATGAATTTTAAAGGAGCTTTATTTAGCATACCCCCAAAACAAATATTCACTGAAAATTTCTTCTAGAAAGATAAGCAAAATGTTTAAATATCATAATTTAATGTAAACCAAATCTCTTAAAAATATTTAATACTGTAATCAAATAGAGGTTATTTACATGCAGAGGAGACCAAATTATCTCCACAGATGTCCATATTAAACACTAGCTAAGCCATTAATTTAATTTCCACAATTTCTTAAACAATAACACCCATATGCAAGTTAGTCATCAGAAAATAAATCATTTTAGTTGGATACAAAATGCAACTCGCTGTTACATTCAAAGCAGGGAAAGCAATACCCTGCCTATTCTGGTAGTCATTCCAGACTGCATTGCATGTTGAGACTTGAAAAACATACTGTGAGGTAAGGCCGTAAATCCTTTTTATTGCAGAAGAATCATTACAGCTGAAGAAAAAGTAGTTACTGTAGTTTTCAAAAAGTAAGCTTTATAAAAAAACTCTAGACATATTAATACCATTCAGTCAAATCAGAAAGGCCAAGCATAAAAAGTTGCAGCTTCTTACATTTAACAGAATGCCTTTAAAAGGTAAGAAATATGTTGTAAGTAGGAATCATTCTGACATAGAAAAGATACTTGTGCCTTAGTAGAAGAAAGTGCACTTAACATTGTTTCTATATGCAATGATTTTGTTTAACTGTGCAAAAGTATTCTCGGAGAACTTTGGCTAATGAATTTAAAACTGTGTTTGTATGGTGTCTTTGATCCACAACATCACCCAGAAAACTATAGTGATGGAGCATTTTCAATGTTTGGTCTTTTTATTTGAAAATATTGGAAAAGTATTACTGCTGTATTGCAAATAAAATATCTGTATGTTGTAACAACCAATTTTAGTTCAAGAAATGGATAAAGAAGACAGTAAAAGCTGGTAGTGGCATACCCAGCAGTTACTGGCCTCTCTCTAGACTAGACTGTTACAGAGCTTATTTGACAGCTGTTTAGTAATCTACATGAAATGGGTGATCTCTATGGAGTTCCTATGTGAAATAAAGTCACCCTCACAACTGGCAGCCCCTTTTGTAGGTTCAAAAGAAGCCAATATTTGTTGTTGGAATGGAAAATGAACAATTCTCCCCACTTACAGGTGCTCCCTGCATGTCAGAGATGAGGCATAATAGAGTGGCAATGTATATTAATGGCTGTGCTATCTAGAAATAACTTAAATCTCAACAGCCACCAACCTAGGACTTTTCATAAGAACTTAATTCACTTCAAAGAAAGAACTTCACATGGCCCAGAAACAAAATGTCTAGTTTTTTCAGCCTGCCCTCATAAGGCATTCTTGCTAGACCCCTAACAACTTTTGTGGCTCTATGCTAGACGCTTTCCAATCCGTATACTTCTTTCTTGAAGGCGGGGAAGGGGCGGGGGGGAGAGGAGGGTGGAAGGAGCACAGTACCCCAGGTGAGGTCTCACCCAGTGCCATAACTAGGGTGGTGTGACCAGGGCAACTGCCCTGGGTGCCACCTGGGTAGGGGTGGGAAGGGTGAGTGAAAGACTGCCACTGGCAGCAACTGGAAGTCACTGCTGCCCCCTGTGCCCTGGGCATTCATCTGTGTTATTACAGTGCTGGGCCCCACTGGTGCTAAATAGAGTGGATATGCACTATATATTGCATTTACCTACAAAAGATCCAGTATTACAAATAAACAATGATCTATTTGACAGTAGATGATAGTCTGTAGCTCACCTATCAATTCTAATGCACTCTGAAATCAGCTTTGCCAATCGAAGCTCTCCTCGTTAGAAAGGACTGATGACATACACCACCAAAAATGTTTGATGAAAGAGGTTAAAGAGAATTAAAAAGGACCTCCATTTATCTGTAAATTGTCTTATTTTATATAAATTTCAGGCAGTTAACTCACATCTATATCTATCTATCTATATATACACATCTGAGTTAACTGCCTGAAATAATTTTCAATCACATATATTTCTAAGAGAAAAAAGACAAGCCAAAACCAAAATTGTGATCCAAGTCCATATCTATAATAACAAATGCATGCTATTAAAGACATAGTGAGCTAGAACATTACTGACAAAAAAAGGCTCTGCAGAACAAGATGTATTTTAGATTTCCATTGTCAGGAGGAAGCCAATACAGCACAGCAACAAATTACACACTTAAATTTTAAAATTGGGCTGAATAATATTAAATTAGAGCTTAAAATGCCCTAAAGCTCCTGCAATGGGTTTCTTTGCGAGGGAAGAAGCCAAAATGGATTTTTATTAGTTAACCTGAAACAGGGCACTCAAACACACTACACCAAGGGTTCATCCTTTTTAACCAATTCAGGTTCCAGGCTGGTTTGTTTAATACGGATATTCAAACAATTTAAATCAGTATTTAGCTTCATATGAATCTGCACCTCTATAATCCCTGAATAAGACAAGTCCTGACGTATTCACAGTCAGAAAAAAGTTTGCTCTCAAGATTCCTGTCTTGGCTAGATGTGCTAAACTTGTATTCTGATTGCTTTTGAGAATATACAACAACGTATAAAGAATTAACTTTAGGGGTAAAAAATCTTGTTGTAGTGGTAACAAATACATCCTTTTGGTGAAATGGATATTGAAATCCACAGCAAATCCATAGCGAAATATCATAACCACCAGTGCACAAAATAAACACAGACAGCTGCAAATCATTTAAGGAAGCAAGAGGACACCATTC